AGTTTTAAACTTTCAGTGCTGACTGAAGGATGGAAACCATATTCAGCAAAGATGACAAACAACTTGAGATAAATATTTATTTGATCTACCCAGTGTTATGGCATATGCCTTTTTCAAGGGTCTATGGACTTCATGGTGAAGTTCACAGACCCTTGAAAAAAAGGCATAAGCCAAAACATCGGGTAGAATAAATAAACATTTATCTCAAAGTTGTTTGTCGTCTTTATTAAATATTTAAAGAATATTTTTCTCTATTTGTAAGATATGTTTTTTTTTTTCTACTTTTTCAAACAACCATAATTTGTTTCAAATTGACTGCAGCATATCTGGTCCTGTGATTCAACTCAGAACTTGTTTTAATGTAAAAGTCCTTATTGTTTTTCTGGTAGATATAAAGCCACCACCAAAACTGCTGGCTTTTGAAGAACCTCCTCTACTCTCAAATCCTGAAGTGAACCTTCAGATGAGAAAGGAATCTGCAAACAAGAGTTTGTGTACATCAGAAGAACAGATGGATCTTCCAGTATTTTCAGTTCAAGGTATGCTTTATTTTATTTAAAAGATTAAATAGCTTCTTCAGTTTTTAGTTCAAGGTATGCATTATTTTATTTAAAAGATCAAATAACTCCTTCAGTTTTCAGTTCAAGGTATGCTTTATTTTATTTAAAAGAAACTTGGTAACAGTAATAGTAGTTAGGTGATTTGTTCTTAAACACTGAATAGTCAGGGCTGCTATGTTGGTGAAGTTAGGAAAGAAAAATATTAGAGCTTGTGTTTTAAAATAAGGAAAGTGTAATTATTATAGTTAAGTTGCCTATTCCTGGGTTATTTTAAAAGAACAATGTTATGCGTGTTGTTAGACCTGTGATAAGTAGTTATGAATAAAATGTTGAAAGGTAAGTACAGTGGGTCCCCGTTATACGTTGCATTGTTCTGCATCATTTCATTATTAGAGCATTCCCCAATTACTACCCATGTATGAAACAATGTTGCCTTGTTTCGATACTAGTGTTAACCCTCTCTGCCCGAGTATCCTTTACTGCGCAGGTCACAAACGTTTTAGTGAGTTGCATTCAGAATCTAATTAAACTAATTTTTGTTTATGTTATACCAATTAGTATAGCATAAAATTGTAGCTAATAATTCATATTTTAATAGTATATAAGTTTTAAGTTTTTAATTTTATAAGAAAATATGTTTTAAAGAAAAAATCCCCCTAGTGTAAGAAATATGACATTTTTCTCTAGGCATGCCCTCTTCTCTAATTTATTTACCACCCATCCAATAATAATATTGTCATTGCTCTGACAAAGCATAATTGTATTAGCCTTCAATCTTGTTTGGTTACAAGCTTCATTCCCAAGGGAGAGATATCATGTGGTCGGTCAATTTGACCGAGTCTGTGTAGAGAGAGTTAATTAAAACATTGTCAGATGTAAACACATTGTGTTCACGTGGAATTGTCTGAGCACATTGTTTTTTCTGCTGCAGAAAAGCCTTGTTTCCACGCTTCCAACATGGCTCCAAAGCGATCACCTAGTAATAGTAAAGTGCTCCTTGCCAAGAGGCCCAGGAAAACAATTAACTTTGGCACTAAACTGGAGATTTTACGACGCTTTGAGGCAGGTGAACGGGCTGTGGACATTGCCAGTGCTGTAGGCCTCACACCTACCACAGTGAGGACAATTCATACAAATGCTAACAAGATCAAAGCGAGTGCTCAGAATGCTACACCGTTAAGTGCTGGAAAGATTGGCCGTTCAAGAAGTGCAGTGATGGAGAATATGGAGCGGATACTGTCAGTGTGGATTGACAATCAGTGCCAACAAAGAATACCTCTCAGCTTGGTGATGATACAGAGCAAAGCAAGGAGCTTGTATGATGATTTAAAGGCTAAGGAAGGGGAATCATCACAAGAGGAGACATTTATTGCTAGCCGTGGATGGTTTCATCGCTTTCAGCACCGCTACAATTACCGGAACATGAAAGTGACTGGCGAGGCTACTAGTGCAGATTAGGTTGCAGCTAAAAGATTGATAGCTTTGTTATCACCATCAGTGGCTTCGAAGAGCTGGCCCAAGGTGGTACGCAGGTTGCACGACTTAAATGCCTTGATGACACCTTGATCCATGGGTTCTAGCAATGAAGTGGTGTTAAGAGAAACACAACCTTCGTATTCTCACACAAGTCACCAATGTCCGTGGGATGAACAGGGGCATTATCAACAATGAGAAGGATATTAAAAGCCAGATTTTCCTTGGCACAGTACTCTTTCCCAGCTGGGACAGCATTCAGAGTGAGCCACTCTGTGAAATTTGTCCCAGTTATCCATGCCTTTTTGATTGTGTTTCCAAATCACGGGGAGATTGTTCTTGCATTACCCCTTGAGTGCTCTTGAAGTAGTAAAGTGGTAGACTAGCAGAGGCTTCATCTTCATGTCTCCTGCTGCATTACCTCCAAGTAGCAGGGTAAGGCAGTCTTCGGCTGCCTTGAAACCAGGAGATGTAGGTATGATTGGGTATTTGCTTCAAGAAGAGGCCAGTTTCATCAACATTAAACATTTGCTTAGGAGAGTAGGCACCTTCTTTGATGATCTTCTTCACCTAAGCAAGGATCCCTGAATATTGGCATAGTTTCAAAATCCTCAACTGCATTGATAACATCAATCAATTCTGGCATGAAGTGTCTCAGAAGTGCATGAATGGCATGTGGGGGAAACTGTGGCCAGAAAGGGTTATTTCTTTACAGGATTTGAAAATGCTCTGCCCACAGTGACAAAGGAGATCCTTAACTTGGCCATGATCATAGATTTTGAGGAGCTGGAAGAGGAGGACATAGACGAAGTGATTGAGTCACATAGTGAGGAACTGAGCAATGAGGATTTGCAACAGCTAGAGGTGCAGAGAGCAGTCAGTTCAGAGGATGATGAGGAACCTGAAGAGGAAGGTAAGAAGAAATTAACCAAAAAACAGCTGGGTGAGCTTTCAGGCACATTGTACTTGTACTGTAAATTTTCAATGATAATGGCCCCAACAGAGAATGCAGCTCTAAAATGAACAGGATAGTGAGTAATGGAGTGTGATGTTACAAGACATTTATCAGAAGAAAAAAAAAGGTTGTGCAACCAACATTGGACTTTTTTTGGCTTCAAAAGAGAGAGAAAGCCACCACAAGCAATCCAGGAAGAAGAATCAACAGCATTCACAGAGGATCCACTAGAGGAGCTACCCTCTGGGTAATTCTGACTCTATCACCTTTACTTGCTCACCTCATACAAGCCTTTCAACCACTACAGTACTTGTAAGTATTAAATATAATCAATGTTTAGTTCTTTAATGTTCTTACATGCATATTATGTATAACACACTGTAGTTAAAAAGGCCATGTTACACCCTTTTAAAAAATGTTATTCAATAGTGGACCAAAATTTTTCAGGAACGCATCACTCCCATAATACATGTAAAGATTGTGTTGCTTTACATTGTTTCAGATGTAAGTCCCACTCTCCAGGAATGCATCACAATGTATAACGGGAACCCCTGTATAGCCATAACATATAAAAGCATACTCAGTGTCTTTTGGATTTACTCCAAGCTTGGCCATGTATATGCTATTTGTAAGTCTGTTTAACATTGTGTGAGTTGTTTTGCACTTTCATAGTTTGTCTAACATTTATTATCACATAGATGCTCAGATCCCCTAGTAACCGTTCATTTGCCTTCGGTTACTTGTTCGTGATGGCTGTTTTTGGCCCTGCTCTATCCATTCATCTTAGCCATATAGGGGAGAATCAAGTTGGAGAGCTTGACCCCTTAAAATTAACTTAAGTATGCCACAATTTGGGAACATTTAGCTGAATTGATTTAAAAACAGGCATTGTGAAGAAGAGATTGCTTTTCTGGATTGTTTTTTTTGTCCATTTTTAAAAATAAGCATTTTGAAACAGTAAGATTATGATAAAGTTTAACTGCAGATATTCATCTCTTTTGTTCTCATTATTGTAATATGATTAAGTATAGCTTTCAGTTAGTTCCTGCAAACAACTAGAAGTTTCCTCAGGAAATGTAGTACGAAATGAATCTAAATTCTGATTTTGGGTTTAAGCAAGAAAGAGACTGAGCAAATTGAAAATCAATCTTTATTTTCAAAAATACAATCACAGCCATGAACAGAGGACACCACTTTTACTGGAAGAGTTTAGATAATTTTTCTACCTTGTTCTAGACTAAGAGAGTACAGCATTATGTACAAGATTCTGTAACTATCCTTTTCACTGGCCATGTGCTGTCATTGATGGTCATTCTATTCAAAAAATAAGGGAGGATAAATCCCCAAGATATCACCTGATCTACCAGTGGAAAGATCCTTTACATAGTGTATCTTATTTTACAGCAATCTTTCCTGTGAAAGATATAGAGGAATGATCTGGAAAATAGGTAGGAACTTAGCCACATACCTTGACTACAAAAACCCCAAAAAACATACATGTGTGAAAATTCTTCATGAACTAGGAATGCTTACTTTACTAACTAAGATATACTAGATATGCCTTTGTATATCACAGTTTTGCCAATGAACAAATCATAGCTGTCAGTCTAATATTAATACACTTTACATCAAAATAGTTTTTGTTTTATGACTAATATAGAATTGCATTTTACATCAAGATATTTTTTTTGTTGGTGTTTTAAGTCAAGAACACATGAACTCGGGCTGTTTAATTGAACCTACTATTTGTAGATCTCGGTAAACTACATGAACATGCCTACCAGAATTATTATGTAGTTTTTCGCAGGAATTTGATTACTTTTTTTTGACTGAAAAGAAAATAAGTTATTTCAAAAACAGTGTCGTAGGAAGGCCAGTCAGGCGATGGCCTGACCACTTTTTCACGACATATATAGCTATAACTTGCGTATTAGGACTTGCTTCTTTTAATTCAATACATTACATTATGTGTATGCAGCATTTATAATTAAAATGGCTCAAGATTTAATCTCATAGCATTAAATTTTCAAACATTATTTTTTTGGGGGGGGGGGCATGCTTTGCTCATATTGTGTGTCACATTGTTTAGTTATGGCAATGATCTGACCACTCTAAAATTGCTTTCTATGACAATGTAAAAGTATCGTTTGACCTCATTTTATATAATTTCCTCTGTGTATTCAGAATTGCTGTTAGATATTTTCAAATGTTTTATGTTAACAAAATTCTAATAATTCAAATTATCTTCCATGGTTAATTGTACATTCTCATGACTTCTAATCATCCCATATTTTATGACAAGTACTAACAGTAAAAGAACTACATGGTGACTTCACATGACTACTTAAACAAGATTTTTTGTTATGGTTACTGTACATTTTCATGAGTTCCAGGCATCTGTTATTTTCTGGCTAGCATTTACAGTATAATAATTATTTAACAGTTTGTGTTCTGTTATTCAGGTATGATGCCTGATAACTGATAACCTGTCATGCATGGTGAAACAGATTTTATATAAATTAAAAACTAATATAGGACATGTTAAGTAAGTTTCTTGCAAATTAAATTATGTCAATTTCCACTTTTGGGTGTTTTTTTTTCCAGTGCTCCTCCCCCCCCCCCAACCTGTGTTTACTTTATGTGCATCTAAGATGTAGTAACTATTATCCCTTGTTGGTAAATGTAATTCTTTACATAATCTATCAATGTATTATGTACTTGCATGCATGGAAAGTGGTCAAGCTATATGGACTGTGTTTCTGAAAGTTTTCATTAATTTTGAACCACGATTTATACAGAAAATGAACTAATATTCCTTCTAATTATAGTTTTTCCTCTTTCTCTCTCTCTCTCTCTTTTTCTTTTCATTACATTTACCAGAATGGATCACTGGCTGTAGTTGTAATGTCTTATTCTTGTTCCCGAAATAACCGTGTTATATTTATATGTATATGCAGGAAGTTCAGCATAGAAACAGATACTTTTATACATGCATTTTTTTTCATTATTACTTTTACAAAACTATTGGCAGCATTCTTTTTTCTTCATCTTCTTCTTTTTTTCAGATCCTTCCAGTTTGTGCATGATTTCTCCAAAAGTTGTAAAGAAGAAGAGGAGACCAGAATGTCCAAACTGTGGGAAAAGTTTCTACGATAAGAGTACATTGAACAGACACATTATTAGAAAATGTCCAATCTGAAAACTTACCCAGTTGATCATTCTTTTGAGTACAATTAATAACCACATCAGCATTTGTAAAAAAACATAAAAAGTTTTCACTTTTGACTTAGTTAGTGAAGTATTTTATTCATTGAACTACCAAAACTTGATTTACTGGAACAAAATATGATTTAGGAATAAGAAACGTATCACAGATTGAAATCATTGGTGAATATACACACTAGGAATTGACTTGTAATACAAGTAAATGATGTGTTTTTGTTTCTTAAAAAGTAATATTTTGTAAATTTTAAATGTTGATATAATTATCCATGAAGATAAGGTTTTGAATTTGTTTTTTCAACTCTCTCTGAATTTTTAACTTTTCTTTTTGGAAGAAACATTGCAAGATAGAGTGTTATTAATACAAATAGGATCGTGTGATCAGTACTACAGTTTGTCATTTTGCCCCTTACTTGGGTCAAATTCGTCGCTCATCGTCTTGAGTTTTTATTGTATAAACTTTGTGACCTGTCCAAACCATTAATCTGTGTTCTTCTAACCAAGAGTGTGAGTGTAGGTAAGAGGTATCACAATAGATGTGTATAGAATTTTAATACAAAAGGAGCCAATCAGAGACAAGCTAAAGGTTAGCAACTAGTCTACCTTGCTATGTACCTGTTGGGTCAGTGACCTAAAAAGGCCTAATATATACCAATGAAAAGACAAGAAAATAGACTGGCAGCACTATAGCTATTAAGTCATGACAGTCCTGAAGTCTTGGTTGCAGGTGAATGGTGGTGAAACTTCAAGAATGAGTAACAGAAATAAATAAATATTGTAATATATACTGTAGGTGAGTAAAGACTGTAGCCTGGATCCCATGTACATAATCATGTTAAACAAGTACTAACTGACAGGTAAGTAGATTGTTTATTAAATAACCTTTGACAATGATATTGTCATTAAATAAAATATTTTTTGGGCATAATTTTGATCAGTCATGGTGTTTACATCAACAGGAGTTGTATATTACAATTATGAATGTTTTTTTTTTTACAGAATTGATGTGATTTTTTAGTCAATGTTAGTATATTATATGATCGGTTAGCATATGTTAGTGTACTATGTGATTGGTTAATTAGAGGTGGCTGAGTATGTGATTGGGTAATCAGTGGTGGCTTATTATGTGATTGGACAGTCAGTATTACTGTATTTTATGATAGGCTTCTCTGTGGTGACTGATTGGTCAAAAGAGATGGTTTATTATAGAACTGGCTGAAAGGTTTTAGTACACTGTATGATTTGTCAGTCAGTTATCATATAACTGGTCATAAGTAACCATGCTGTGATAAATTTTTATGGATGTTTAGGATCAACAATTACGTAGCTTTTCTGAAAGTAACATAATTAAAAGATTATATACAAAAGTGATTATTTCTTTGTTTTATTATGTATTTAGACTTTTTTTTTTATAAAACAATTAAGATACTTGTGAGAACATTGGATAATTCCTGGTGTATGTCACTATTTAGTTTAAAGATTAGTAAGTGGTCTTGCTGAAATAAAGAAAATAGTTACAAATGTTCTCTCTACAAATTAATTTCTGGAGACTTAAAGACTTTTTTCTTACATTATGTTTTATATATTTAGTTATATCAGAATTACTTGTTTTAGAAAACTATACAGAAACTTAATGTATAACATCACTGTTGTGTTCTGCATCATATTTTGGAAATTAGATCAAATGTGTGAAGAAACACAGTTTTCCAATTCTGCACCTTGTGATTATTGTATGCCTAATCATACATCATAATACATTTAGCATCTGCCAAGCCAAGAAACTAAGCACTCAAGTCTTTTTTGTTTTGTTTTTTACAGAACATTCTTTACTTTCAATGCATTGAAAAACTTTTATATAGTGTTTTTTTTTAAAGCTTTACAGTATTAAAAGCTGCATATTTAGACAATAAAAAATGTTTTAGACCAATGTTTTTCAACCATCAATCTGTGGACTGGGACTGGTCCATCACAGCCATGTCCATGGGATTCCACAAAAACAAATACACAAAAAGTGACAGAATATTCACACGGTTATCGATATTTATTACTGTACTTGCATTTCAATGGTCTGAAACATTTTAGGGAGGCAGTGAGCCGGTCCCTGGTATTGAAAAGGTTGAGAAACACCAATTTAGATTTTTCTTTTGTGGACATGTTTCAGTCACAGAAAAGAGAGTGTATGTATTTATATTGATAAACTGGACAGTGTTTTCAATCATTTTACAGTGGTACCAGAAAATTACTTTGTACAGAGTTCTTGAAATGTTTCTTTATCACAAGCTCTGTTCTGCATTAAGGATTTACTTAATGTATCCTTCCTAGTTAAAATATTTAGAAAATTAATTTCATCAGTATGATAAGTTCTTGATGTTGAAGAAAAGGTTTGAGATATTAGTAAAAGTACTTCTGAACCTGTGTTGTATACATTTTCTTTATTTTTCATAAAGTAACTCCATTACTTATGGCAAGGCAAGCTCGTATTGCTAATATATTTAGGATAGTAATTTCAATCTGGAATCAATTTATTATACTAGGATACATTTATGAATGATTTTTTATCTTTTTTTTTTTAGTTCCTTAGATTCTAGTAAACATTCTCTCAATTAAAAAACAAAAATACAATTTTCTGTAAATAAAACTTGTACAAGAGAGAGAAAGGTTGATGATAGGAGAAGAAATAAGAGAACATAAAAGTAACCTATGATAAATTACCTGAAAAGAATGAAAAGTTGACTAATGTGAGAGTGGAAAAATAAAGAGTTAACTGAAATTGTTAAACTTTTTTTTTTTTGTTTTCACACTAATTTCCTTTATATTTACACTATAGAGTTTACCTTTTCCATATTTGTTAGACAATTTACATAAATTTGGAAATATGAAGAATTTTTCACATTGTGTATGGGACCTAGTTTTGGGCCATATTAAATTGTGTTTAATGTTTTCTTATAATCTTTGATCATGTTTAAAGTTATGCCTTTGTTGAAGAAAGAAAAGGAATTTGATATAGATCATAATATTGGGAACAATACTAGGGTGAGATGGTGATGTATCCCTTTCCTGTATGATTTACTTTGGTTTCAGTTTTGGTTAGAATTTGTGTAATTGCACCAAATTGCAGATGTATTTGTATCAAACTATTCTTCAGCTTGTCTTCATTGATTTTGTGTATCAGTGACATTTGTGAATAAATGACATTTCTTCAAATTTTTTTCTTCCTTAAGAAATGCACGTGTGTCGGTTTGAATTACTATATGCACAGTTGCTATTCTGTAGCTTACGGCATTACTAGCTTTTGTAATGGGTTTTGTAACGTACAAAATTATTAAGTGCCATTGCTCTACAGAATATCTTAATATTTTGATCATAATTTTTCAAAACAAAGATTTTATGCAGAAGTGATATTCTTGTTTCGACCATTTTTGTGACTTGTGTGTCCATCATATCTTGACAAATGAATATATGGTAGACTGATGCAAGAAGTCTCAATTTTTTGCATAATCTAACTGTCGGTATTTATTTTAACCTCGATATATAGACTACAAAATATCACAACCACTGTATTACCATGTACTGCATTATATATTTGTGTGTGTGTATTTACATATATCAAGTATATTTTATTTATATTTCAAATGTTTACACAACATCTACTAAAGTACATTTTAAAGACTTCAATGATTTATAACTTGGTTGATAGTGGCATTATTGCAGTATTTTATATTGTAATATACATCGTTTTTCTCTGTTCGAAGCCAATGGAAAATATTAGATATAATCAAGAAGACAGTACTAATTAATACTATATAATAACAACAAGCGAAGCTGTAAATATGTAATACAGTCAGCTTAGAAAAATAAGGAACTGATTTACGGATAGTGGGTCAGGCACGGTTCGCGTTAAGTTGCTGCAGAAACACACACTGCTCCTTGGAATGGGAGTTGCACTATAAGAGTGATGGTCAAATCCAATCAGTCGGTCAGACAAGAGTAGCCCATGAGTTGGTGGTGGGTGCTCCCTTCCCTGTAAGCTGCCATTTTAAAATCATGCATGACTGTGCTCAGATAGCCCTTGTATAGCTATGTGAGAAACTTTGAAATATGACAACTTAAAGATAGTGTGTAACATAAATTGAAATGTAATGGAAGCTTATTTTTTGTAGAGGAATATGTGTTATATCAAAATTGGTAGTTGATGGATGTTAATTAAAGGTAGATATAACTATGATATCTTTAGTTCATTTTTTTTCAGCTAATGTATACAACAATAATACATTATACCTCAAATGTTCCTTCACTTTCTTGTTTAGCAGATTATTTATATAATATTGAAAAGTTTGCCCATAGTTTGGTTACTGTTACGATGTGAAAGCCTTGTAATTTTTTACATGCGTGTTACTACAGCAAAATGTTTAATTGGTGACTTTTTATTTGAGGCATAATATTTACTACTCTAAAATGGAAGATTATGTACTACAGAAAAAATTTAAAATTACTTAATACTGTTAGAAATGTAAAATGACTTAATACTGTTAGAATGTAAGAGTATATACTACTAGTAGAATGTAAAATGACTTAATACTGTTAGAATGAAAAATTATAAACACCTAGAACAATTAAAAATGATTT